AGTAATCAAAGAAAAAGAGATACTCAAAAAATTAAAACAAAATATATTAAACCATTAAGAGTACTTCAGTCCCGGAGCAATACTTAATAAAAACAGGTTTTATAAACCAGAACATAAACTTAAAAACATAAACCATTAACGAAGATGCAGAGAGGATTAAGTAGATTAGATTAACGCCACATATGTGGCTCGCCCAACTTGTCCCAGTTCATAGTCGGAACCTTCTTATCAGCAAGATTAGCCTCAGCAAGTACAAGTTCACTCTTAAGCTTCTCCTTCACCTCCATGATCGCATCATTGTTGAAGAGATCTTCAATCACTTCCAACTTACCAGCAATGTGATAGACTTCGAGTTCTGCTTGGTGTCGTTCATACTTGGCCTGCTGCAACTCCTTGTACATCTTGAGAAGTGCTCGGTAATGCTTGATCCTATCATACATTCCATTCCAGTACCCCTCTTTTATTGAGCGTCCATAATCTTCAATCATAGGTTGCTTGAGGTTCCTCTCGCGGTTGGATGCCATCCCTTGATCGTGATCTGCATGTTCATTTAATAAAAAACTTTTTAAAATATATGCATGCTTATCTACACACAAATCTGTTAGATCTAAATAAAGTAAAAAATATATAAATATTATCTAAACAAAAAACAAACGATTATGTAAACAAAGTTTTTTATCACTAAATAGATCTACAAATCAAATACGTTTCTACTTATCACTTGCACGGATGGTAAAATCTAATATATTAAAAAAGAATCATATTTTGAGTTGGGTAATTTTGATGAGAGAAGTCGTGTTCTTTTTCATAAACAAAGTTTTTTATCACTAAATAGATCTACAAATCAAATACGTTTCTACTTATCACGAATCTCCGTTTAATCTTAAATCTAAACTGTCTAAATTCGATAAGATCATAAAAAAGTATACAAAAAGCCATAAAGATTATCAAAACAAAATAAAAAAGAACGAATCAGGAACCAAATCTAAAAGTTTATGAAAATTTCTTACAAAGATCTTCTTTTTTTCTTGATGTAAAAAGAGAGAAAGAGATTACGGTGCTTTGGTAGAAGAGATATGCGGAAGGTTATATATAGGCTAAGTAAGAGGCTTCTAGATTTTGAACAATTGAGTTGCCACCTTTTCAACCCAATAATAACTGTTGCGTGTGAAAATTAATTTGTCGATTCCCGTAAAAAAGTAATCATTGCAGTAAATAATTAATTTGGTTTATTTATCTCGAGTCTTCGAATTTTTCGTCATTGTCTGTATATTATGATTTGTTACATAATATTAGGGGCCTTGATTTCTTGAAATCGTGTAACGGGTTTAATATTAAGGCCCATATTATGAAGATAACAAAAAATGATTTTGATCCAGCAAATCATTCTTATGCGAAGTCTTTATGCAAATGTAACTTTATATAGAATGGGTTAATTACTTTCCTTAGGATAGGTTTTGGAATAATAATAAAGATATACCGTAGTGGAAGCAAAGGTTAAATATGTTTATTGGATCTTTTGTTCTCTTGTTGTTAAATTAGCATTTCCATATATACGGTATTGCAATCACTTATGCGATATAATTCTTTTAATTTTGAGTATTCTGCAATATTCTTCTGTTTAGTTATTCCAATTTTCTTCAGCAATTTTATATAATTTGATGGTATTAATTGCCTTACGTATTGCTGAAGCAACAGAATATTGTATATCGATAGTTCCCATAAAATTGAAACATATATTCATAGATAATCATTTAGTATTATTTCCCTTTATGCATTTAATATTATACTCAAAGCAATAAGATTAAGGAAAATGAGTAGTCCTCAAGTAATATTTTTAATATTCCGATTTTGGCTTTGCTATACTATATCATAATTCTCATGACGTAGATAATACTCAAATGCATAAGATCCATCCTAATGAGTAGTGCTCAAGTATTAAATACAATATTCCGATATAGGCAAAGGCTCGAAACATCACCTTCGTATTCTCTCATTTCGTAAATCATTGCAGTAAATAATTAATTTGGTTTCTTTATCTCGAGTCTTCGAATTTTTCGACATTGTCTGTGTTTGTTGATTTGTTCCATAATATTAGGGGCATTGCTTTCTTGAAATCGTGTAACGAATTTAATATTAGGGCCCATATTATGAAGATAACACAAAATGATTTTGATCCACCAAATCATTCTTATGCGAAGTCTTCATGCGAATATTATATAGAATGGGTTAATTACTTTCCTTAGGATAGGTTTTGGAATAATAATAAAGATATACCGTAGTGGAAGCAAAGGTTAAATATGTTTATTGGATCTTTAGTTTTAATATTAAATTAGCATTTCCATATATTCGGTTTTGCAATTACTTATGGGATATAATTCTTTTAATTTTGAATATTCTGCAATATTCTTCTGTTTAGTTATTCCAATTGTCTTCAACAATTCGATTATATAATGTGATGGTATTAATTGCTTTACGTATTGCTGAAGCAACAGAATATTGTATATAGATAGTTCCCATAAAATTGAAACATATATTCATAGATAATCATTTAGTATTAATTCCCTTTTTGCATTTAATATTATACTCAAAGCAATAAGATTAAGGAAAATGAGTAGTCCTCAAGTAATCTTTTTAATATTACAGTGTCACTCTTGGCTATACTATATCATAATTCTCATGACGTAGAGAACACTCTTGGAAACCAGAGTAGAGATTATAGTGGTAATGGATATGAAAGTGGTGGATACGAAGATAGTTACTCGAGAGGAAATAGTGGTTGTCGATACAATGGAGGTAGAAAATACAGAGGTGAAAGCTTTGGTAACGGTGGATACTGGAGTGGTGGTTGTAGTGGTTATGGATACAAGATATTGGATATAATGGTGATGAAGGTGGATACTCTAAAGTAGTAGGGATGGTCGATACGGTACGTAAAGGTGGGGAAACGAAGATGGAATGGTAGAGAAAAGAAAGAAAAAAAATCAACCAATAAAAAATATTAACTAAAAACATAATTAATAAAATTGAATACATAAACAATTATATTAACTAAAAACAATTGCAAACTATTGTAGATGGAAAGGCAATACTGTCCAAAAACTACCTCGACCTCAACAATTGTGCTCTTCAAGTCTATTGTGTCTCTAAGTGAAAGAAAAGTAAAAAAGTGTCTAAATATGTAATACACTCAAGTTTAAGACATCAATCTTTCAAATACAAGTACAAAGTCTAAAATACTTTTTAAAATAGGAAGAAAATATTAATTAATATTCAAAATTATGACAAGCTAATAAAATTTAAACTTAAATTGAATAATAAATAATAATAAGGGAATTTGCACTACATACCTATGAAACTAAAGTTAATTAGGTATATGGAAAACCACTGTTACATTTTCGATAATTCCCCTGATGCCCCTGATTACATATGACCTGTGAATCCCGTAGTTGCATATTTTACAATACTAGTTATAATATTAAAGTATCTTCTTCTTTTCTCTTCGTACATTAAAGTGGTAGAGACAGTGAAAAACAAAGCAATCCCCACTCAATGCTCAATTGCTTAAGATTCTTCATCTTATTAATCTCATGTTCCTCTTCTCCCTCAGCGAAGGTGGAGATTAATAACTCGTTATTCACCAGAAGTGGCAATTACGACCTGATCAAAGCCATTTCCGGAAATGCTATTTGCTGAAGATCTAATCAGCTCACCGTTGATTCTTCGTCGAAGAACGAAGCGTTTGAAACCATGCCCGAGCTCTGATTCAATGGTTATGTCTTCATCGTCGGATTATCCAGAGACTCACTGAGTCAGACCGAGTTAAAGAGGAAACATGTGTGGGATCGCCATTTGCTTAACCCGTCTCCGGTTCGTGACTTGTTAAACCATCCTCTGTTCAACCGAGCCCCCGATCTATGCGGGTTTGTAAACCGGTTCAACGCCGAAGGACTCGTTCCGACAGAGACTTACAGAGATCAAGAAATTTGCAAGTCGACTCAATGAGTCCAATTCTAAACACAAATCGTTTGAGGTGCTTTCTGCGCATGTATGGTGGAGCTGGGCGAGATCATTGAACATGCCCTTGAACCAAATCATCAAACTTTTGTTTAGTATCAATGTTCGTGACCGAGTCAAACCGAGTCTACCTAGTGGATTCTAACTTCTACGGCAACACATTCGTCGACGATGTGTCTGAGGGTTAATTTGGCAAACTATACTCACTAAATAACCAACTTTGCAAATACTTTCAAAAACTGCATACATATGCAATTACCGACTGCCTTTTGTATATTCACCTAAATGAGCCTAATAATAATTACCTAATTATAAAAGAAAGATGTATAGCTTTCCTCACACCATCCATCTGTCTCCAAGTTGTCTTGGGACTATGCACACACATATATATATATATATATATATTCTTCCCATAGCTGATTAAGAAATTCCCAGAGCCATATCGATTGCCACAACAACAACAAAAAAAAAAAAAAAAAAAANCACCATCCATCTGTCTCCAAGTTGTCTTGGGACTATGCACACACATATATATATATATATATATATTCTTCCCATAGCTGATTAAGAAATTCCCAGAGCCATATCGATTGCCACAACAACAACAAAAAAAAAAAAAAAAAAAACTGAATTTTCTTTTTTCTCAATTCGATCCAAAAGCCATCGTCATTCCTCAGCTTGTTCATATTCGAGGTAGGAAAAATAGTTCTTTTTTCTTCCTTTCTTGTTATGGTTATGGTTTCTTTTGTTTCATAAGATCGTTTTGTTTTGGTTCATTGCTTTATGCTAAGATTTGTCTTTTACTTTGATGATTTTGCATTCATGTGTTCTGCACGAAAAGGTCTAACCTTTTATGTTTAGAGATTTAGAAGAAATGTTATTTTGTAGTCTCTGTGTGTGTGTTTTTGATTCTTCTTTTTGTGATTGTGCCATGGCTCCTCAGGCTTGAGTTTGTGTCTTCTTGGAAGCGTAGAAAAGCCTCTATGGTGAGCCGATTCACTTCGTTGCTCTTCCTTTGTTCATAGATGTCTTTACATTTGTTTTTTTATTTCTTGTTAATAGGGAGGAGCACCAACTTTCTTTGTGGATCATTTAGAGAATGGACAACAACACACCAATGGCTTTGGTTTTAAACCCGAACCGGAAAACAGAGATACATCAGTTCAAATTGGGGACCAATCTGTAAGCCTCCTCCCAGTTTTGATGTTTTTGGAATGTGTAATTTGATATTTGATTCAACAACATTCAGGAGCTTTGGTTTGATCTCTTTTGCAGTATGTGATTGGTGGAGGAAATCATGAAGGAGTGAGAGGAAGTGCGGAGAAGCTTATTGTCATAAGCGGTCCTTCTGGAGTTGGAAAAGGAACGCTTATCTCAATGCTCATGAAAGAGTTTCCTTCCATGTTTGGATTCTCTGTGAGCCACACAACTCGATCTCCGAGGTCTATGGAGAAGAATGGTGTTCATTACCATTTCACTGATAAAACTGTAATGGAGAAAGAGATTAATGACGAGAAGTTTCTTGAGTTTGCTTCTGTTCATGGTAATCTGTACGGAACCAGCATTGAATCCGTTAAGGTTGTAACAGATTCAGGAAAGGTAATTTAAAATATTATCTCTTGTGTCCTCCTTGTTTCATGCCATTGATCTTTTAAGTGATTCTTTTTTTGTGTGTGTGTGTAGAGATGTATACTTGACATTGATGTTCAAGGAGCGAGGTCTGTGAAGGCGAGTTTGAGGTCTGTGAAGGCGAGTTCGAGGTCTGTGAAGGCGAGTTCGAGGTCTGTGAAGGCGAGTTCTATTGATGCGATGTTTATATTCCTATGCCCTCCTTCAATGAAGGAGCTTGAAGATCGGCTCCGTGCCCGGTAAAAAATAATCAGACTTCTACCATATGAGTTGTTGTAGTTGAAGGGAACTGTTATCCTGAGATTTCAAAATCTATTAAAAACAGAGGAACTGAGACAGAGGAGCAGATACAAAAGCGGCTTAGAAACGCTGAAGCAGAGATCAAAGATGGGAAATCCTCAGGCATTTTTGGTCATATATTGTATAACGACAACCTTGAGGAATGTTACAAGAAACTTAAGGTGACTTAGCCTGACTTTTTTTTTCTTTGAAAAAAAAATCCTCTTTAAGCACTTTGACTTTGGTGATGAATAACAATGGCTGGCTCTCTGTTTCAGAATCTCTTGGGGATCAACAATGACGCTCCGGTGAATGGTGTAGAAGGTAATAAAACCGAAGAGTAGACATAATGTTGTATATACTAATGAGGTAAGAAAGTAAGCTTAATGGATCTCTTTTTGTGATTGTTTGATTAAAAGCAGTAGAAGGGATCAATCTTCCAAAGGAGCACACAGTAACAAAGATGGAAGATAAGATTTTGATTCATGAAACAGGAGAAGCAACCAAGAACAACATGTACACTAGTTAAACTGACTAAATTTTTTTTGGTTTATAGAGTTTTTGTTAATGAGAGGTCTTTTGGTGAGCAGGATAGTGTTGGATTTATCATCAATCAACGGGGGAGCACCGGGAAGAACAAGAGGGATCATTCTGGACACGGTGAAGTCCAGCTAACAAAAGTCTTTATACCTTTCTCCGCTGAAAGCTAAGGGAATCATTCGCACAACAAAAAAAAAAAAAAAAAAAAAAATGATTTTTCTGAGGAGGCGTTTAGCGGTTGAAAGGTTGACTAGATAGGCACTGATGATGATGATTCAAAAGATTTGTTTGTTCATTTTACTGATGTGATTTTTTTTTGTTTACTCTTTTGGGTATTATTAGGACATATAAAGTATAAAAAGGATGAAATTTCTACAAATGTTTTTACTTGACAGACGATACAACAGTGTTTAGTATTTGTACATAGTACAAACCAGTTAGTGCCAGTTAACAGTTGAAAATCAGCCAATCAAGTAGCTGAAAAGCATCAAACTAAGAGAGAAAGACAAATATGTCAAAATAAGAGAGCAACTTGTAGGACTTTGGAATTAAATGGGTCCTCGGAAGATTGCAACTTGCATAGATTCGTAGAATCATGGGTCCAAAAGTCGGTGACAGTGTGAATAAAGGAAGGTTCGTTGTAGCCTACTAGAGCGTTACTTTACTCGAAGAAGACAACGATGGTTTAATACAATGTATGTCCTGCTCCACCACACACTTGTCAAGTGATACTCTGTGATCTATGTAATACAAAATAGATGCGCCTTGCTCCCACACATTAAAATATCTTTCTCGGTCTAACCCAACAACATTTGTTCCCGGTTATTCTGAACCAGAGATAGGGGTTAAATCTTGGTACTATACTTTCAAGGTTTTGTTGGGCTCTGAGTCCAGAAATAGCTAGTCCAAGCCTTGAACATGTTTAGAGGGTGGTACGAGGGGATAGGGATTAGAACAGAGGTTCACTTTTCAGTTCTGGAACAACTTAGTCCTGTCAGTTTTTTTTTTCCCTCCTCTCCTAACTATTTCCACATGAGAGCCACTTTAAACCAGGAACTAATTGAACCATGAAATTATTACTTAAAAAGTGTTCTTGGATATATTGTTCTGAGCCAGAATGTATCTATCAGACCAATTAACTTGGATTGGTTATGGCAAGAAAGATCAATCGCTACTGTTCACTGACCCTATATGCCAACATTGTTCATTTGATTGAATCAGATGGTACACAAAAGTAGAAACAGTAACAGAACTAACAACAGAGAAATAAAAAAACTCCTCAAACAACTATCCTCAGAACAACTTATTGTCTCCACAAATGTGAACTTTTCAAAGACTAAGAACAATCATAGAACCACAAGAGCTTCCAACAAAAAGTTTTTCTAAGAGTCACAAGCAACGATCATGAGTTATAGATTTGACAATTAACCACACAATCATTGGCAATGATCGATCACCCACCTATAACATCACATTATTCATCCAGTAATCATAGTTCCAGCACCTTCATCAGACATAATCTCATGAAGCAAAGAATGTTGTCTCCTCCCATCAATAATACTCGCCGTTTTCACTCCCTGAGCAAGAGACCTAATACAACAATTCACCTTAGGAATCATCCCACCACCAACTCTCCCATCTTCAATCATCCTCTTCACTCCCTTGATATCAATCTCCTTCACCAAGCTCCCCACATCCTCCTTATCCTCCAATATCCCCGCCACATCAGTCAACAGAATCAGCTTCTCCGCTCCAAGCGCCGCCGCCAGCTCCCCCGCCACCGTATCCGCATTAATATTATAAGCCTGCCCACCCTCATCCGCAGCAACAGAAGCAATCACCGGAATGTACCCGGAAGCCACAAGCGGACGCAACACGTTAGGATCAACCCTCGCGACTTCCCCGACAAAACCCAACTGAGCCGAGTTGGGAACCGGTCGGGCCGTGAGGAGACGACCGTCGTGTCCGGATAACCCGACAGCGGTGGCTCCGGCGGCGTTGATTAACGAAACGAGGTTTTTGTTGACTTTTCCGACGAGGACCATGGAGACGATCTCCATGGTGGTGGCGTCGGTGACGCGGAGTCCGTCGCGGAACTCGGCGGGGATGTTGAGCTGTTTGAGGTAACGGTTGATGTCGGGACCTCCGCCGTGGACGAGGATGGGGCGGAGACCGACGCAGGAGAGGAGGACGAGGTCGCTGACGACGGAGGCTTTTAGCTCCGGGGAGGTCATGGCGGCGCCGCCGTATTTGACGACGATGGTTTTGCCGCGGAATTTTTGGATGAAGGGGAGGGATTCGGAGAGGATCTCGAAACGGTAGTCCGGTGAAGGTGGGGAGGTTTGGGTTTCGAGTGGTGATACGGCGGCGTTTATGGATAAACGGTTTTGATGATGATGTTTCTTGCGAGGTGGGAAGCGGAGGGATGGAAGTTTGGGGGTTAGGGGTTTCAGGGGGTTGGAGATGGTGGAGGAGAAGGATTTAGGCGGCGCGTTGGATGTGACGGTGGCCATATCTGAGCGAATCCTACCGGAAGAAGAGGACGCGACGGCGAAGAAAATACTGAATTGAGAGAGGCTCTCAGGCTTCAGTGATGTATAATGAACCAATAGTTAATGCCCACGTGGATTTTAAAACTCAAAGACTCCGTCTTTTAGAACCGAATCAAAAAGTAAAAACTTCAATCGATGCCCAATTCAAACTGAGTCTTACTAGTTCAAATGCAGCGGTTGCGGGTGAAGGAGTTTGCGGATACGAGTATTTATAATTTCTTATGGTTTTAAGAGATTTGTACGATTGGTACTACGTCTATAAATTGGTATGGTTGCAGGATATTTATGACTGATTAACTATCAAATGTAGTAGCGGTTAAAATATAAATTAACAATATTAATATTTTGTATAGTTATAAAAAATACCAAAAATCATAATATTATAATAAATATAGAAATTATACTTTATAAAGTTATAGTTTTAAAATTTTAAAATTATTGAAAATATTTTTTTGAGCTATTTGCCTCAATAACCATAGAAAAAAATATATTAGGCGAATAGACATAACACTACTGAAAGTTAAATATCCTAAGACTAATCTTATTGGTAGGACTATAGATAGACCTAACACTTTATCGGACATAGCTATAGGGTGGTACACTAATTACGCTATAAAACTCTACTAGACACTATTTTAACACTTCCAGATGTACAAAATTTTATCTTTAACAATTATTTTTCAACTATTCATCTCTCCTCCCAAATTTTATTCATTCATCTACGATGGAATCTTTTTATTTTCTCATCTGAAAATACAATAACAATAATTCATAAGCAAAGAGTAAGGAGATGTCCATCAATTTCGGCCATGAACCACTACTCGAGTAGGTGGTGTTCTCTTCTCATCAACGCCGCCATCGTCTTTTGATTTCGACCTTCATAAAAACCACCTTCCTTTATAGTGTATACATCTCTTAAAGACTTCATCTCGTCTCCGAGCAACTCCTCCGTCAAGTTGTCGTCTTCAACGGTAACAGCTTTCATGTGTTATCCACTGTCGGAGATATATCGATTCGCGATCCTTTTGGTTTTATCTACAGGCGACGGAGTCGGCTTCGTCGGAGGACTCGGCTAGGTGTCAGTTGCTCCACCGCGTGTAGATTCAGTTCTCCGTTGGAGTAAAGTTCTTGAGACGTGTGTTTGACTGGATTCTACAATCAGTTTGTGCTCCTTAGATCTCTAGAACTGCAAAAGACAGTTGATATTGGAGGGCATGGCATGCTCTCTGCGATGGTGGTGAACGGCATGGTCTTTATGTTATAGACTTCAACTCTTCATTTTGGTGGTGAAAGGTGGTATGGTGGAAGTCAATGTGGTGGTGTTGTGGCTTTTAGAGCACCTCCAATGGTGTTACCACCATTGGAGTCTTTAGGTCTTAAAATATATATATATATATATATATATATATATATATATATATATATATTTTTCAAATAGTTAAGGATTCTTTCCCATAAAGTGTGTCCAGTGGTGTTACTTATTATGGAATCCTTAGCAATATAAAATTATTATAAATAAAAAAATAAAATTTTTAAAATTTATTTATTTGAAAACATTAACATTTTAACACATACAATAATTATACATCATCATCATTACCAAACTTCTTCCAAATATTTTCAACCAAATCATTTTTCAATCGTTCATGCGTACGCTTATCACGGATAGAATTTCGTATGCCAAGCATATTACCGAAATGTGAAGGCATGTTCGTAGTATAGGACATGTCGACCTGCGAACTTCGGCTCGAGTCTCCTTCTTCAAAGTCAGAAGTATCAAACTGAGTGTATCCGTCACGTTCATTTTCCACGATCATATTGTGCAGTATGATACATGTCCGCATGACCATCCCTATTTGTGTCTTGTCCTACAAAACAGCCGGGTTTCTGACTATAGCAAATCGAGCTTGCAAGACTCCAAAAGCCCGCTCCACATCTTTCCGGGTTGCTTCTTGATGTTTAGCAAATAACTCTGCTTTAGAATCTTGAGGGAGTGAGATAGACTGGATAAATGTTGACCATTTTGGATATATACCATCCGTTAGGTAGTATGGAAAATCATAGTGGTGTCCGTTGACAACGTAGTTCACCGGTGGAGCCCGACTGTGTAAAATGTCATCAAAAACAGGTGACCGATCGAGGACGTTAATGTCGTTTAAAGTCTCCGGAGGACCAAAAAAAGCGTGCCAAATCCAAAGATCTTGTGAAGCAACAGCCTCTAAGACAATGGTGGGCTTTCCTGATCCATGTGTGTACTGTGCTTTCCAAGCCATTGGGCAATTTTTCCACTCCCAATGCATGCAGTCGATGCTTCCTATCATTCCCGGAAACCCGCGTATCTCTCCAATATCGAGTAGTCGCTGAAGATCCTCGGGAGTTGGTCTGCGGAGATACTCCTCCCCAAATAATTGTATTATGCCTTCTGTGAAATTGACTAAACACGAAAGTGTTGTGCTTTCAGCAAGGCAGAGGTATTTGTCCACGGCGTCAGCCGCACAAGCATATGCAAGCATACGAATAGCTGCCGTACACTTTTGTAGTGATGATAGACCATTTCTTCCGGTGGCATCGCGTCTTTGTTGAAAGAATGGAAAATTTTCAGAGAGAGAATTGACAATTTGCATGAATACCTCCTTGTTCATGCGGAAACGGCGTTTGAATAAATTAGGCGGAAATGTTGCATTCTCAGAAAAGTAATCATTCCACAGGCGGGTGTCGCCCTCTTCACGGTTTCGTTCAATATAGGCACGTATTCTTGATCTTCTTGTTCGATTCTCGACAACGCTGTTGTATGTATCTTCAAAATAGTCGTCGAAAGCCGCATCGAATCGTCGATCAAACTCATCTCCCATATTTGCGTCCAATTTCTGCAAAACTGATAAACAACCATTTAGTTATAGCATCAGCTTTTATCAAAGTCTTATTATATCATCATTACTTAATTTAGAATAAACTTTAACATCTTTTGAAAAATACATTTTATATAGGTTCTGATATATAAAATACAATAACGTCTTTTGAACAATACTTAATGATTAATTCAATCATTATTTAGCAAAATTCAAAGGGGAAATAAACATGTCTATACTTAGCCTTAACTTGATCGACTGATGTATATACTCAGCCTTAAGTTCAATTCTGTTATATATTGAAAGGGGAAATAAACATGTCTATAGAAAAGTTTAAGAATCATGATCACACTGCTTAAACATGTGCATATTATTAAACAGAACAATCAGTTTCGGAATCAACCACAAAGATGCTTAAACATTAACTTGAACAAAGATGGTTAAACATTAACTTGAACAAAATATATTACAAAAGAGTTGTAGATAGTTTACAGACAGATACCCTTGAAACAAGTTTTGAAGAAGAAGAGCAGTAGAGATAACAATTCCGAGACTACAACATACTTATAAAGGGACAACACACATACAAATAGAGGAAAAACATAACCCGTGACTTCATGAAACGAAACAAAAGAAAATACAGCTGCTTCTGCTTAAGCTGAGAACCCGTGACTTCATGACAATCCCGTGACCTTGTACTTCACCTGCAATAGCAAAAAAGATTCATAAGCCAAATATTAAATATAACAGAACAGCAAAACATATAGCACCAAATTCAGTTCAGACATTAACTTAATAAATATAACATATACCATCAATGATCATAACATTTCAGACATTAACTTAAGCTTCAAATTCATTTCCATCTCAATGAGTGGTTCTTGCTTCGCAATCAAACTCGAAAGCAAACTCTCTTTAGAGATTTGCTTCTTGGCCTCTAACATCAATTCTAGCTTTCCCAACTCTTCTTCTTTGGGACTTTTCTTCCTCTTTCTTGATGCCTTAGCTGCTTTGACTCCTATGGGCCTCTCCTCTGGCTCAGTGACAGACCCTTGAGCACCAGAATCAGTGGTTTTCCTCTTCTCCTTACCACTGTCTTTCTGTAGATATGTTGAGAACCACTTGACATCATGTCTGAGCTCCCTCCAGGCGTATTCTAAATTGAAGGTCATTAGAGAAAATCGTCAAAGCAGCTGACATAACATCGTTCTCATTTTGGCCGCTTTTCGGTTCTCTCAATACCATCTCATAGCATCCAGAAAACTTACACACACCATCATTTATCCTAGCCCATCTTTGGTTGCATTGGCCAAGCTCTCTTGGGACAGTACCAACCAGAAGAGGACTGGAGTTGTAGTACTCAACAATCCTCTTCCAAAAAGCCACTGCTTTTTGTTGATTACCCACAACGGGGTCCTTGCTCGTGTTGAGCCATGCACCTATGAGGATTATATCCTCTTTAGGTAACCATTTCCTCCTCTCTTTCACAGCAGGCTCATCGGAAACAGGTTCAGATGAGTCGACATCGACAACTCCTTGACTAGCTAAAAGGTTAACAAAGCTTGTAGTGTTTTCCATTTGGGAAGAAGTTTGTCGGTTTCAGGGTTGGTTTAAACTAGCAACGGGTTGGAGTGTACTAAATATGGGATTCACAACGATAATCTATTCAATACAAGTAGGAATATGTCTTATCAGTGCAGCTACACACAATTAAATGAGTTTTTCACTCGTAATTGAAGTACTTAAAGAAAAACAAGTTAATGTTCGCCAACTATAATTTAAAAGTGGTTAACTTTGCATTTAACACACCTACGGTTTACAATTTATTGGTTTCAACTACAGTTCACGGTATTTTTAATTGTGGTTTACTCTCATTTTAAACCTACGGTTTGAGTTTTCGAATTCAAACAAAGCACATAAAACCAATAAATATATATATACTAACCTCTACAGGCCTCTCTCAAGGACAGTCAGACGCCTCTGCAACATCCTCACCTGATCCTAGTGTTATAACAAAACAACAGTAGTATTGTTACAAACATATAACACAACAAAACTCATGATACAAACAATCAGGATCGTTACCTTAAGTCCCTGAAAATCCCTCAGAAGCTTCTCCTGCTCGTAGACTTTTCCTTTCAGCCTCTCAACCTCTTCTTGCATACCCAAAACCCAGGGTTGCCTGAAGTGAAGCCCATCATTCTGCAAAATTATTCAAAAAACAATTTAGTCATAGTCAAATTTAATTACTAAACAGAGATCGCTACATACCTCGTAGTCTTTGCATATGAAATATCTCCTCCCTGAAAGGTAGTCATAATTGTCTTCTTCGTTAACCACTTCCTTTGTGATTGATCCACAAGCGCACAATTTTGGTATTCCATGTAGCGCATTTGCAACGAAGTCGAGCTTCTGGTAGTACTCCTCGTGTGCCTTCATGTCTCTCAATTCGTCCTCCATTTTGACACCGCAAAGACACACACACAATTGTTAAACACACAACTCTTAAACATTGATTCATATAGAAGATATTGATTCATAAACAAGATATTGATTCAACTCACACTCGAACCCTTTAACGTTTTATAACTAAATCCCCAACCCTTTATGGAATATGAATCCCTAAACCCGAACCCATTCCGATTTACAACTCAATCACTAATCAATATTCATGCAACAACTCAATCGTGAACCATTAGTCGATTTACAACTCAAACCGATACTGAATCACGCCGAAAACAACATAGAAGCCCTTTAAGATGATTAAAATAGCTAACCCAGACGAAAACCCTAATTTGAAAAAAAATCCCAAATCGATTTGAAACCCTAGATCGATTAAAAACCCCCGATACAACCAAAGAAACAGAAGAAATCAACATGCAACAAGTAAAAATGAAAGAAAAATGATAAGAGGACTCCGATTTACCTTCGTCCTCCGATGGTCGCCGATTCGCCTTCGTTTTCTCGAGAGCAAATTTTTTTCTCAAAGCAGAAACAAAATGATTTTTTTTCCCAACACGCGAGCAAGTGGAACTCCTCTCGCCAATCAACGTGTGCCACTCACATAAGGATCAGGGCCGTGGAATCCGTATTTAAGGATTCATCCTTAGCTAAACTCACCATTAATCGATTAAAATATATTATTTCTCCTTGGTGCACGCGCTAAGGACTTCGACGTTCCTTGCATTGTGGGTGCTCTTAGTATTGACAGCTATAAAAATAACATG